TATTTATTAAACAAGAGTACAACTGTTATACATGAAATTGAGCCTGAAATATGTTAAATGACTGTACTGTATGTTGTTTTAATAAACATAATATTTACATAAACATTTTTAAAATGTCCGTTTTATTACGTTCGGGTCAGTGTGCAACAATATGTTCCTGGGGTAGTTTGGCAATTAATTATGTCCCCTTCCATCATTAAAGTTGCCCAGCCTATTTATAATAAATTRTGGTTTATGGCTAAAAAAGAACTGCATTATTGTCCACTTCTGAAGACAATAATGTTTTTTCATATCTCTGTTTTATGCATGTTTGTATTGTCAGTAAAATATCCCGTGAGTYAATGAGCATATTTTACTGAAACTCCCAAAGTAATCATTGAGTGAATTTCAACAACTTGAAGAAATTTAATGGGGTTAGGTTATATTCTGATTTTAATTACACTACACATGGTATAATCTTATGATTAGATGAACTGTAATAATTAAATGTGACTTTTTTACTTAAATTAATGTTTTTATATACAGTAGGTAGGTACATGCCTGAACACAGATTCAACACTGAACTGAACTGTTGATCTTCATTAGAGTAGATTATTTTAATTGTTTGGAGGCATGACTCATGTCCCCTTCCTGATGATGTAATGAAATAGGCGGGGTCATGCCTCGATGCTTTCTGTTATATTAAACTGTCTTCCGGATTTTCATGGTCTGAACGTTAAACGCCTTCAGTCCGAGCAGCTCTGGGTTTTGTATGATCTCTTTAAAAATCATTTTCCATGCATTGCTACATTCTCCGTAAGGCTCAAGCATACAAAATGGTGAACGAACACGCTTAACAATATTTTTCTTTCAAACTGATTACATTTTTGAGTCAGTCTGATTCAACATAAACATCACAGCAAAATGGTTATAAAAAAGACTGCCAGGGGTTTGTTTAACAATTAATTATTCTTTTATGATTGTGAAGTGCTACAGACAATAACAGGTTTTCACATTCCTCCCTGTCAAGTGTTTGTTTGATGTTTGTGAACAGTTTGGTAAATTATTTTACGCTGAACTTTTAGACACCAGTTTCTGTTAGAGGCAGAGTTTGGACTGTTTTATAACTGTACT